TTATTCCATTAAACATTTTTTAAATAGAAAAATAATTTTGAGAATGAAAAAAATCACAATTTATAAAATTTAATAGGTATATATTTGTTCTAAACATATTTCTTTTTTCTTTTTTATTGATTTTTTAAGCTCTACATTTTTCTCTTCTCCCCCCAAAAGAGTATTACATAGGCCTACTGAGTTTACTGAATGTATGTGCAGATCATTTTTCATTCATCAACACATAGTCTTTTAACATTTTTTATAACTTTTATTTTTAACACAGTGTTAATTAAAATATAATTTCATCACTTTCTCCTTTCCCTTTCCTCCCTCCATTCCCTCCCCAGTCTCCTTCTCAAGTCTCTTCCCTGCACCTCCTCTCAAATTGACAACATCTTGCACGTGTGCATCTCTCTCTCTCTCTCTCTCTTTGTGCGCGCACGTGTGTGTGTGTGTGTGTGTGTGTGTGTGTGTGTATGTATGTGTGTGTGCAAATATAAAGATACAACTTGCTGAGCTTGTTTTTGTTGTTCATAGTTGTATGGTGTCAGAGATGACCACTTTGTCTTGACTATATCTACATCACGACTCCTGCATCTGTGGCTAAGGGAACATCACAGAAGAGGGGGCAGAAGGACCAAGAGACAGACCACCAGGAAGTCTAGTGTGAAGCTGTGACTCATAAAAATGGCTGCATAAAAAAATATCTAAACATTGGTGATATCAATAGACATTCTAAAGTGGAAAAAGGGAACCTCACAGGGTCACACCCTCAATCAGGGAACTACAGACAACTAATTACTCCAGATAGAGGGAGAGTTAGCTTTTTCCAGGGAAGAGTTCCCTTGACTTGTTTCCCAATAAAACTGATCAGCCCTGAAACAAATAGTATCTCATAATTTCTCTGTATTTGATAAAGCATGCTTCACAAAGTTCTATATAAAAATATCCAGCATGTCTAAATATTTAATCTTGGGTGACTATAAACAGTCTTGTGTGTGTGTATGTGTTTGTGTGTGTGTGTGTGTGTGTGTGTGTGTGCATGCACGCACACACACACACAGGCACATATATTAAAATCTGCGTACTTTGGGCAAAGGAAATCAGTGAAAATGACTGGTAGACAATTACCTCTGCCAAGCTGTCATCCACTATAATCTAACAATGACATGCAATACAGATGTTTTAAATAAGATGTGTTTCAACACCTCATATTTTAAATGTGTCTAATTGTTTCAATGCCATTAGGTTCTATTACCTGAAAATATACATACATACATACATATATATATATACTTTAATATTTATATTAAATATTATGATGGTCATTCAGTGGAAACAAACATTTACATATCATTCTTTGTTAACAGGCAGGCTTCTCTTTTATTCTTTTATTTTTATTCTCTTATTTTTATTCTTTTGGGTAATAATTATCACTACTGCAAGACAGAAATGGTTTTGGCAGTGGAGAGGAAAATGTCCTTATTGCTAGATTGAAACACTTGTGAGGTGTTTTTCAAGGTGGTGTAGTTTTCCATCTCTGCATAAGCAGAAATGCTCATATTTTCTTCTTAAGAGATGTATTTACAAATTATCAGACAGGCAGGTTTCTTTCTATCTCATATATATAATCAAGATCTGATCTGACTTCCAACCTGCAAAGTGCCACATTTCCACGCAGTTCTCCTTGGAAGCAATCTGTGATCCCAACTGTTTTCTGACTGTTGTCTTAGGATTGTCACATACATGTCCTTCTTCTCTCTTTAAACTCCCGTAAGCTTTCCCCCCACCACATCCCGTTTCAGTGGTCCTTGCCTTCTAATTTATTTTCTTCTAGTGGTTTCACTGATCTCTACCTCAAATACACTCAACACTTTAAAATTCATGTCTTCTCAACAGTTTTTCTGACTCCTTAATCTGTTTAGTTCCGTCAGTCAGGCCTCGGAAACATTCCCTCTATTTGCTGTGTGTGTTCCCTTTGCATCTCTGTGTACATGCAGCATCACTTTTCATTGGGTTTCCTTCTCTGGCTGCCCCTCGCCACTCCCATCCGACTGACCACCAAATTTGCATCAAGCACAATGTTCTTAAGCTACTCTTGGGCTTACCCCTCCCTGGTAACCACTAATTGTTTACACTGACAGAACATTTCAAGCAAAACCCAACTCCACATCGTGTGTTCATTTGCTGTACCTTCTACACATGTACACTATATCTTAGCTGCTGGAGTACAAGTCTGTTTTGAATATCATCAGCAGTGTGGGCTTTTTCGTTCATCTTTTTTTAAATGCAGTCCAGATTTTTATACTGTTGTTTTTTTCTTCATACTGTTGTATTTTCCTACTTCCGATGTCATCCTTTCCTATATTAAATTCATAATAATTGTGAAAGCCTTATGTCCACACAGAAGAGATTCTCAATAAAATGAATTGAGAACACGTCTGCTTCAAGATGAGAATGAAGGGTGCATTTCACAAAGTGACAACTTAGAGTTTAGGGTGCATGCAGAACATTCTATTTGTGCCTAAAACATGGCAATATTTGTTTTAAAATATTTCTAAAATAAAACTCTATTTGATATTTTTAAATGCAAATCATACTGCAATGACTTTTGGGTATTGAGTTAAAGTTAACTAATTTTTGAAAGGTACTTAATAGTACGAGTATGTAATCTGATAGAAAGGCAGAGTGTACTCGATTTCCTGTATTTTCAACTTAAGATATAATTCATAGCAACAGGGATCCTGTGTAATGTTTTCGGCTAAAGTATTAGAGTAATGTCTTTCCAAAACACAACTCCAAAAGAATGCTGGCTTCAAAACTAAAAGTTAAACTGATATTCTGCATCACAGGTAAAATTTTATAGCTTATCAAAAGATAGACTACGAATTCACAGTACTTTTGAACAGAACACACAAACACGTACACATACTCATTCACACATACACTCACATGCATAGTAAATAATTTGTCTCAAAAAGAATAGCTAAACAATTATATAACCATCGTCTCCTACTGACTTCTCAGGAGGGAGAATGACTAACAGCTGTGAGAAAATAATAAATTTTCAACTTCGCAATTATTATCTAAAAGATGAAACCTCCCTTCGGTTTTGACTTGACCTGAGGTTACTGGTTATGTGTTACAATGATCATCATTTTATGGCTTTATGGATATATTGGGATTTCTGTGAGATAGATATAATAGATGTGGATGTGATAGAAAGGAAGGTGAAGACAAGAAAAGAAAAAAATGAATCTAGTTTGGAACATAAATCTGATCTAATTATCTGTGCATCATCTTTCGAAACTATGCAGTTAACATGATTGCCTGAATCCCCACGTTATTTAAGAAGCTCCATAGTGAAGCTCTGAGGTGGTGAACTCTGACAGCATGGCTGTGTCAGAGAGGCAGCGGCAGTGCCCGAACTGAAGCCTTTGTTGTTAGGAGACCTCAATCCACTCTCCAATCGGGATTAAGACAAAGGTGCAGACATTTTGAGGATGGTTCAGTAATTTATATTTGAGTCATAATAAGCTGAAAAGGAGGTACACGGGAGGGTCTGGGGAGAATGGAAGAGAAATAATATAACTTATATTACAACTTAAAAAATAAATAATAAATATAAATAATCTGAATAGCTGGAGGACTATCTCTTTGAAAATATCCTTTTCTAAAATTATATTTGAGCCTTCACTCAAGTTCAAAAGCAGTTTTCCTGTGGCAGCTTCTGTTGTTTTGATAAATAATTTCCACATTGTTTGCTTCGTTGTAGGGAAAAGCAAGTCACTGAATCGTTCCTACAGACACTTGACATCATTTTCCTCTCCCTGTGCTAAGTTGTGTATGTGTGAATGAGCCTTGTGACTCACGCAGGTGTCACAAGTCTCCAACAAAAGCATGGTGTGTACTCAATCACACCCAACTGAGAACACACGACTCTACTCACACAATTATAAAGATTACTGATATTCTAATAACAGCAGATAGATAGATAGATAGATAGATAGATAGATAGATAGATAGATAGATAGATAGATAGATAGATAGATAGATAGAATGATGTAGGCAGGTAGCTAGTTGATTGATAGATAGATAGATAGATAGATAGATAGATAGATAGATAGATAGATAGATAGATAGATAGATAGATAGATACTTGCTCTCTTTTTTTCTTGATTTAGGAAAGAAGTTCATATGTCTTGTCAGTATACAAGCAAGGACAAGACCAACAACATTCAGGATGTAGTAACGCTTCCTGTTTTGTGTTCGTCTGTTGCCAGAGAAGGTTTTAAAACTAATCACCCAGCCACCATATGCATTATAAAATAGTTGGAGGACTGAGAGAAAGACAAAGCACTGCAGAACTTCTAAACAGCAAGAATGAGAGCAAATGTGCATGTTTTTATTGTTTTTACTTTATAGGATCTAAGACTGTGGCATGGATAATAGTTATTTTTGTTACATGGATATTTAAACAGTAGTTTTAAAAATTCCGTTCTGAGCATTTGCAGACCATGGGACTCTCCTGTATTGTTTCTGGAGGAGATGAGTCTGTTTCGTTGGTGCATTGCCCCTCACTGTTATTTAATATAGTGACCTCACTCAGTGACTTGTAACACTCTGTCCTCTCCTGGGGGTCTGTGAGGTGCAGAGCTATGAAACATATAAGAAATGTACTGATTTGTGTCTATATACCTAATACCTGGACTAGCTGTTCTTTTGGACTGTTGAAAGCTCTGATTTTGAATGCGCACACATGAGAGTAACTTGAATCCAATACACGCTTCTTTCTTCTAACTCTTCCTGGAGTTGTGATTTTCTCTCTATTCACATATAGTATGTATTAGTTATAATAACTTTAGACTCAAGTTTCTGAAAACCAAGTATGCATAAAGGACACTGATATTTATAATTTTACATATCAGAAAATCTACAGATACGAAAGAATCCATTATTCATTGATTGAATGACTAGAAATAAAATTTAATTTGTTTTTTTTTTACTTTTCTATTTTCAGTTATCAAGAACCTTCAAATAGATATTGGAAGAAGTGATATCACTTTATAATATCTCTACTCTGTATCTAAATAACCTTAATATTTTAATTATATATTGAAAAGGTAATGTTCCCACAAAAATAACTCTGGATTCTATTCACCCTTATCTTACAGTCTCATACCTAATGTATAATAGAATTTGGGATATGGTAAATATTAAGTATTACTTCTTGGAGCTGTTTCTGAAAGGGTAAAATTTAGTTCATTGTAGTCGCACAGTTAAATGAAATGAGAACATTGAAAGCACACGATCTAATTTTGCTCTTTCTGAGCTTCTGCACTGTCATACTTTAAAAGAGATTTATTAATTCCTAGTTCCTAGAGATTATTGAAGGTTAAATGTGGTAATTTATAACAAATAATAAATCCACTTTCTTGTTTGTGATGGTGTAATAATTGCAAATGCATTTAAAGCCACTTAGTAAAAATATGTAAACATATTTTTTCATCTTTGTCTTTATATGTCTATTACAAAGGAGTGGTATAATATGGGAGACTTTGTAGCCATTTCCAAATAATTTGTTTGGTAATAATATAATATAATCTTTGTGAATTTATTTACCTGAGTTTCTTTTTCTTTCCAATTTCATGTATTTTTTTCACATAGTGTCTCCAATGATATATAAAGCATTGGCTCTTGTAGGAGAAGAAATCATTCTGTATGCCAAGAGCGCTCTCTTTTTGTTCAGCATAATACAGGTTTCTCTACCCCCTCCCTTGACATTCCATATCTATTACCATTGGGTAGTTCCCAGTTGAGGTTCTGATTCAGCTTTCTTAGAGATGGACTGTAGTTTTGCATACTGGGAACCTGACTGTGTTCTTTGGAACAGCGTTTGTAGTAGACAAGTTTTCTAAATAAAATCATAGAAACTCAAACTCAACACTAAACACCAAAAGATACAAGTATTTTTTTATTTATACTTTATAGTTTGAAACTGTATAAAACTATAAAGCCAGCTAAGATTAATTTTGCTTTATGTCAACGTAAAACAAATAGATACAAGTATTTTATCACTATTACTTTAAATTAGAGGACAAATGGGTATTCCTATCAATTTGCACGGTTCTTACCGGTGCATTATTTGATATTTAAACAGTTTATATAAAATATCTGAAACTTTGTAGTACTATTTGCTTATGATTACTTTAAAATACATAATTGATTATGTTTAATTTATCCAAATTACAAAAATTAATAACACAAAGTGTGCTATGGCAAGAACAAAGCATTATTGGGCTAAAACAAGTTGGGTGACAGACATCAACTGGTAACTGAATGTGGTTTTAACCTTTTCTGTACGATTGCCTACATCACTACAAAGCACCTTTTAGTGTAACGTCATCAGCTAACATTATCATCGCCCTGCTAGGTCAGCATTGCTCTGCCCTTCTCTGTAGCCTGATTGGTCCATCACTCTGCCCTCCCCTGAGTAGTCCATCACTCTGCTCTCCCCTGAGTAGTCCACCCTGCCTGCTCTTCTTTATTTTGGCATTGTTCATTTACACTGCACTTCAGCACAGCTGCCTTACTAATTACAGTGGAAACAAATGGTGCCAGGCTCTAGAACAGTAGAAGAGTCCCTTGTCTTTGAGTTTTAAAGAAAGCACAGAGATTCCAATAGAAATACATTTAAAAGTCTGAGCACACTGCATAAAAGGCAGAGACTAGCAGTCAGCATATTGGGGATGTATAAGTGGTTTGTACCTACTGATTAGAAATAAAAACATGCAGCTTTTTTTTTGTATTTTGCCTCTTATATGTGTCGCCACACAACTGTATAAATGTTTTACCCCGTGCTTGAAGTTTTTTTTGAAGATAGTCTTTCAGAATAGTGGCCTGAACCTCCTGAACTTTCTTCTTCAGATTACTACCCACTGTGTTACTGAGAACAACTTCAGAAGCAGGACACAGACATTCACACAAGTAGCAGAAAAGAACAGAATGGCCCTGACAAAAATAAGAGGTGGTCTCATCGGATTCATCAGGCAGTGCTTTGCATGACTTTAATCTGCCAGGAATGGACCTTAAAAGCAAGAGAGAAAAGTGTCTGTACGACTTTATCTCTGTCCGTTCTGCCTTCACTTGACAAGTAATATACTAAATAATTTTACCTGTCAAAAATTGTAAACATTCATGAAAATAAATGTCAGTTAGTGAAATTGATCAGTACTTTATGACTCTTATTTTTATATGAAAGTGAAGGACATCTGTCCATTTGTACACGTGTCCATTTGTACCTCGATCAATTTGTACGTCTGTCCCACTTGTTTATCTGTTTGTGACTACTTTTCATTCTACTTCCTAAAACACAAATAATAGCATCAAACATCCAAAATGATTGACATCAGGTACTACTAAATATATTAAACTCCAAATCAAGTGAAGTGTGTCATTTCAGAATGTAGATGGAAGTCATTCATATCAGACTTATCATCTTTTCAGAAATCTTCTTCACCCTGTAAGAAATAACAGTGTTGAAAGCAACAATGACCATGTGTTGGAATTGAAGTTTCAAGAGTCCACCGTGATGCATTACCTTAACCCATAGTTCATCTTACAAAAAAAGGAAGTAAATATTTAAGAATAGTCAAGAGTGGCTGAGGTATCTAAGGCAAACTTCAGCAATTCATCATTCTTTAGTGCCTCTATGATAGCTTGTACGTGTCTGCAGTATAAATGATCTGATAGTTTAGATATAATTTTTACCCATGTGGTTTAAAGTGCAGAAGTAAAACAGCAGAAACATTGGTACTCCAGTCCCTTTGCTAATAAAAGTTGACTTCTCTGCCAAAATGAATGAGAAATTTATGAATGTGCTGTTTTCTCGGGCTCTGTGGAGCAGAGCCATCACTAATGCAGCAGGTGAACCATGTTGGTTGGTAAATGTAAATGCCACCAACCTCAAAGGGTAGCCCACAATGTGATGCTGTCAGCCTTAAACCTGCATTTATATGCTGCCCTGGCCAAAATACATGCCATGCGCTTAGATATCTAAATTAGCCTTGGTTAGTTTTATAAAAAACAATTACATGATTTGTAATTATGGCATGCCATTTAAAATATTGAGCTGTTAATGAAAGAAACCCCTGCTACATATATAAGACTACTTGCCATATGAGTGACGGAGCTTTATACATTGATGCCATAATATACTTTGACACTTTACAACTGCCATGAGTGAGAAATTGATATTTCACTACAAAGCGAGATGTTTCTATGTGACAAAATGTGATTCTGTGATCTCTGTGTGGTCTTCATCCCTCTCAATAAAGAATCTTTACCCTTTAAGAAATTTTTCTTTATTACTCTTCATCCCACCCATTCCGACGTTACAGGACTCCAGAGTTCCTTACACTCATTGTGACTGGTGTGATCGGTATCTTCCTGGTCGTACTGCTAAACTGCTGCACCAGGTCCCTATTTGGTCCCCTTTGCTTTGACCTTTGTAATGCATCTGTCGCCATAGCTACCTTTCCAAAGCAAGGCTCTAGTCATGCAACTTCACAATTCAAAATGCTCACTGCCACCTTCTTCTTCCAAATAAAATATTCATATATTCATCAGACATTGACTCATTTTACTTGATCTCCAAGCTTGCTTTCCAAAATTTCGAAATTTTCTATGTGAAACTATCATATATCGATGTATATATGTAGCTTGCAGTTAAATTTTCTTTCGCCTAATGAAATGCTTTGATAATAAGGATATACCCAAGTCAGTAAATTATTCTTCAGTGTTAAGATTACTAATGCACTGGAGCCTTTCCTCAAATATGTTGCTGTTTAATACATTCATTGTACCACTCATTAGCTCAAGAAGCTGAGTAATATATCTGATATAGACGGGGTCCCAGGATTGGGTAGGACTCCTCTATGATTAGAAGTTAATCATGGTTGGTGCAACAAAGACATACACTGTGGCTGCTGTATTTTCCATGCGAGCAGGAAGGTAACTGTGCAAATCTTTGCAGGATTTTATTTCTGAAGTATTCTTCTTTAATTTAGATCACTGCATCAAACCTGCAGGTTATCTGATAGTACTTCATTTTCAAACGCACACATATTTCAGGCACTAGGCATTCACGAGACAATAAATCCTTGATCCAGTCTAAATTTTGCAAGTTTTGTTCGGTTGTGCTTGATGCAACACCATTTACTCTGGTTTAGCTTTAGCTTGTGATTTTAATTCTGTCAGACTTTAGAGTTCATAGTGACCTTCAACATACTACTAAGCTACCTTCCCCTCTCTTCTCAATTCCCAATGTTCTATGGTAGGAAATACCCTCATACAGCCGACAGTTCTATGTCCAGAGTCCTTCAGTTGCCCTTGATGTAAAGGGTGAATTCTTGTCTCCATTGGTTCGTTCCACTTTTTCCTGAGTTAAATAATACTTCCCCTGATTTATCTAACTGTACTCTGACTTTTAATTTAGGTGCCTCTATGATGCTGTTATTTTTCCACTTATCTCATAGCAGGAAACAGAGTAGGACTCTGGCTAGTGTTTATAATGGGAGCTAACACTAGGCATTTGCCCTCTCAAACTCATTTCTCATTTTTCCTAAGAGTTATAAATGAGAAAATACTACTTCCAATAATAAGATACTAGCAGTATTAATTCTATTATAGAAGTATTAATAATAATGTACTAATGATATTATTAATAAAGCACTACTAATAAACATAGCATAACTTCAGTAGCATTACATTAAAACCTTTTTGCAAAAACTAAAAAACACATTGAATTTATTAATAAACATCTATTTTGTGCTATAATTAGCCTAAACCAAGTACAGATAAATAGGTAGAAAACAAAAACAGATAAAATCATTGATTTTAAATAAAATCATTAACTATGATTTCAGAACTGCCAAGCAGATTTCTTGCAGTGAGACTGTGATATTTACCTCATGTGTCCTTAAAAGTCAACACAGTTCATGATACCCTAAAGAATATTCATGATATATTTTTCTATTTTAATTGTTTTGTCATTATACATTATATGCTGGACTTTATTTTATGTCTCATCCAGCCACCGTCGAGATTATGAAGAGTAAACAAAACATCTCTTCACTTCCCAGTAACTTTCTTATAACCTGAAATCATGGCATTGGGGAGTCCTTACAGATCCATGTGGATTATTTGAATGCAATAAGGAAATAAAAGACAAAAGAGAAATTTACAATTCATTTAATTCCAGCTCAGATGGTAGCATGCTCTGTATTTTTATGACTTTAATAAAATGTCTGGTGTTTGGAGTTCTTAAGGAAATGTTGGTAGTGCACAAGCTTCACCGTGATGCATGTGTAGAATATACAGTATTAATTCCACTACAGACGGTATTGTCTATCTGATTAGAGGAGTCTTGGACTGCACATGCTAACCCCGAAATGCACACACACCAAGGGAAATCACATTTCTCTACGCCATCTGAGATACTCCATTTTGTGTTTGTTTCACATCCACATTGACCACAGAAGAGATGGATAATTCACAAGTTGATTAAGGCAAACTTGAAACAAAATATTTTTAGCAGTGAAGTAAATGGCAGTCCTGTTGGGAAAGGATCATACTTCTTCATATTCCCTGGGATAGACAGCTATCTGATTTAAATGTCAGTGGTTTTATAAGCAGTATCCATCCTGTAGTATAGCATTTTAAATTTAATTCTCCCGGAAAGGTTGAAGGCACAGGTGTGTGTGTGTGTGTGTGTGTGTGTGTGTGTGTGTGTGTGTGTGTGCCTGTATGATCTTTCCCCCTTTATATTTTTTTTATCAAAATAGTTGTTTAAAGGTCAAATTATGCATATTTCTCTCTGCTTCTAGGACAATAGAACCAGACCTTCATTTGTACAAATTCACAGAGGGAAAGATTCAGGTTATCTAAAATTAGGCTAGACCGTCCTCAGCAAGGAAATCAAAGGTGTCTTATATTTAGTTCTAGTGGGATATCCCACTGTGAGACAGTGTAACCATTATGTGCCCTCCTGGGCCAGCATGGAGCACAGATGAATTTCATGAAGTATCTTCAGGAACATACAGGTGGATATTATATTCAAAAAAGAAAGTCATTTATTTTCTATACTACCAGGTATGAACTGGGTTTGTTTCTAATTTTTTATTTAATCTGTAAGTCATCACTTGTGTAGCATAGTAATTAATTAACCTATTAAAATGTTTATTATTTACAACATCTACATTAAACATTAATCTCATTTGTAAAATGAGAGAACATTTATTAAACAAGGAAAACCATACCTACCATTGATATTGAGACAAACTGGCTTGTGATACATAGCTCACATAAAATTGCCGTTCTCTTAATGGTTTATTCTCCTTGGGATAAACGTTGGGAGATTCCTGAAAGGCAGCTTCAGATGAAGAACAAGGATAGTTGGTAGGCATGCTCAGGATATGAGGGGTGTCACGAAGGATGACAAGTCACCAGTAAAGCTAAAGTCACCAGTCTTTCACATTTAGTCCTAATTCAGCTATTCCAGCAAAAGAAAAACATACATTCTCTCTTTTTTCCCTTCCTCTTTCTTTCCTAGTTTTCTCTTAATATTTGCTCTTAATGCTATAACTCTTTTTCCATTTTGATAGAATTGGTTAGCAGATGTGTTATAGTCGTCACCATGTCCAAACACATGTAAACTCTCTTTCACTCAGGAATGATAAGCTACAGCCAACAAAGAGGGGGAAATTATATTCAGTAGAGAAAGGGAGAGGTTCTCATTTATTTATATAATATATCTAAATTAGCATCAGAGTCATTTGCTACTTCAGAAGATTGAGATAATAATAATAAATAAAGTTAATTAGAAAACGGTAGATTTTATATAATGTAACCCCCAAGAGAAGTCTTGTTGCTTGTCTGTCTAGGAATGGCATTAAGGTAGTATTTCTAATTTGACTTCCCTTCATTTTCCATAGTTAAAATAAAATATTGGAGCTGTCAGTTCTTCTTATGACTATGTGGTGAAATACTATCTCATATATATTAGAACTTTACATTTCAATATTTGTTAATTGCAGGCCTGGGGAGATTATGGTCATGTAAATCTTAGAGTATAAAAGACTTGGTTTTTAGGTTGAGCAGCTCTGTTTGTTACAGATCTTCAGAGGTATGCAGAATCTTTCCGCATGCAAACTCTGTGGTTCTGATGACGATTC